AGGGAGGGAGGAGAAGTAGGGAGTAGAGAGAGAGAGAGAGAGGGAGAGGGGTTTGGGAGATTGGAGAGAGAAAGAGAAAAGTGGAGAGAGGGGGGTTTAAAAATGATGTTTTTGTAAAATTTGTTTGGGCTAAAAAATAGGATAAAATTGGTCCAAAGGGTTTGAAGATATAATAAATAGAATCTTTATGCAGCTAGATAGGTTTTAAAACCTTGCAGAGAAATGAAACTCCAAAATAGGGTCTATGGAGACATTTTCCCTACTTTTTATAAGAGCCCAGAATCCTTCTCCAAGTTTTCAATCTATATCAGCCCATAGACATGTGCATGCGTGGACAATGATTTTTGTAAGCCTAGCAACTCGTAATATGGTATAAGCCCAACAACCCAGATTGAAGGATCCAGAAATAAGTGACTTGCGTTGTTAGAAAAAATATTTTGAAACAAATAGGATTCTGATGGACTCCAAAGTTCGTACACATGCACCTCATCTAGGCAATCCAAATAACAATAACGTGTTGTCAGTCTCGGCCGACAAATAGGTAAACTGTGTTTGTCAGTCTCATCCCTCCAAAAACACCACCTCTCCTTCACTCAGGGCTATTGGGCATAAGCTACACAACTAAATAAGCATTTGAATAGATTAAATATTCAATAGTCCATCAAAGTACACAAACTTCAACATTAGAGCATCTACTAGGTCCTCTGCCTAATAATTCAACAGGAAAAAGCATGTGGATGAAGAAAAGAAGGATATCAAATACAGGTACATCCCAAACTCACCTGGAATTAAGTGAGATTGCTGCAATTATTGATGATTTGAGAAGGTATCTGGAAAACCAAATCAGAGGCATGAAAACTGGGAAATGGAAGTCAAAATTTAATAATAGAAAGACAACAGTTTTTCACTTTAATGCCATAGACAACTGGAAGCACAACCAGTATAAGTTCCAATTTCAAAAACATGATAAATGAAAACAGTTAGAATGCTAGAATTGCTATTTATGTGTCTAACCTAGTTAAAGGGATGGTCATATATAACCCCTAAGTAACTCAATGTTAAAGAAACACTACATGGAATAAAACATAAAAATTAATAATGAAGAAAGGGGCTCATTACTCAAAATCCAGACTCCAGACCTGATACACAAAAAAGTATGGCATTAGATGTTCTCAAACATATATGCACATCATCAAAGAACGAAGAAGAACAAAAGAAAGTGAATTAAACTAAAAGAGAAATGAGGGATGAAACGATCCATAGAGAATTAATTGCACAAACTACATCAAGTAAGATGCTCAGAATAGAAGAATACATTGGATTTTTCCAGAAACCAATGTGCTGCGAACTCCATAGGTAGAGAAATTATTACTTAGGTACTACATCGAAATACCTTTTGTCCAATAAATGATAGTTATGAAACAGTATGAAGAAATTGGTGATCAACCAAAATGTAGATAAAGACCCTGATTAAAAACACTTCAATTTTGCAAGAACAACAAGAAATTGCATGATAATCTCTTTTTTGAGGAAAGTGATTACTCTGAATGGTGCATCTCATGAATAGCTCTAAGCCCCTCCAGACAATCTGAAAGACTTGGCCTTATCCCAATTCTTGCTTGCATTTGTCGTGCGGTTGGCTGCTTAGATTCACCTTTCAAAAGTTGGCACCCATCCTGCCAGAGTTTCTCAAGGGCTTTAACAATGCCATCAAACTCATTCCTGGTATAAAACATTTAAGGGGATTCAGAATCCTAGCGGACTCAAGGACGTACTCAAACTATTTCTATACAAGCATTTGAATAAAATACTCAAAAGTTCACAAGCAAACTAATCGTAAGGATGTATTGAGGAGCAACCATGTCTACAGAGATTATTATTTCAGAACAGCATCATATAAGTAATCATGCTTTTGACTTTTTTCAATCACCTGACAAGAGAAGGCACAAGAACCTTAAAACTTTTAGGCTGCAAATCGAAAACGAAAAAACTATTGAACCACCAGCACTTCCTAGGCATCACAAGCCTCATGAAACATACCATTCCTTAATTGCAAAGTTGGCCATAAACCCAGCCAAACCTAACCCAGAATATCGCCTGAAATAAGTTCCTCAAAATACCACAAGAAAAAAGAAAAAGACCCTAAACTCTGTCAGCTTTTTAGAGGTTAGGATTTCAATGAGCATAAGGTAACAAAGATTCTCTTAGCTTACAAGCACAAACACAAGAGCAAGCATTTTCAACCATCTGCCAACATCAATTCAATGCACCCAGGTTAAACTATGACTACATTCCACCACTAACTTGGCATTATAATCGGAACGTGTCCAGTATAGGCATAGAGAACATTCAGGGGTTTCACACAAAACCAGACTTAATGGTCATCTTTGTTTTCTTTAAAGCTACTCAATTCTAACCTGAAACGACCAAAAATTGAGCAGGACAAATGGCAGTACTCTTGGAGGGATTCTCTTATGCATAATCTGCCCATCCACAGACGTATCAGTTCTCAAATAAGCTCTAAGAAGCACAGTGAAATCTTTAAAGTTGTTTTAGGATCAGCCTTGGTCCTGAAGCTTGTATCACTCCTCAATCATCCTTTCCTGAAGCATCTATGATTTTCTAATACTATTTTGTTCTTGTTATTACCTGGATTTGTATAGGGCTCTTAGACACTATAATCAGGCCGTTAGACACCAAGACACCAAATTGTTCTACCAAAGAACCAGTAGGTAAGATAAAACCATAATTCCTTACACTAGAAGAAACCATAGTCTGCTGATTCTTATTTATTGAGTCATATGACTTTCATTTTCGTTTGCAAACAAGACTTGCATTTTGCATTTATTAAGGATGACCAATATAAGGAAAGCCATCAGTGATAAGGATAATTCTTTGATGGGTGACTTTACAGTATCTCTCAAGAATACACGACCCCTAGAGGTGGAAGAAATTTCTAGGTGTAGGAGTGGAACTTCAACAACATACGTCCCCATATAACTCCATCATAATGCCACACGATGGTCTACACACACCAACCGCACAACAATAAATAGAACCTATTGCCTAAACAAGCGGCGACAAGCCCCAACTACTTTGCAATCCCATAGAAGAAGCTGCAATGAGCAGCATAAACATAGGACATCACACCCAACTTTTTCTTCAAATCCTAGCTTTCCAATTCCTAGTCTTAAATTATTATTTTCTGTTTTTTTCACCATTTCTGCTCTTAGAAATTATATATATATATATTTATATATATATATATATAAATATATATATATGGGAAATGAAATCATGTCACCATGTCATTATAGCTTAATGAAACCACACTTCTAAAAAACCATGTTTGTCGTATTTGTAGGACACAAATATACACACTCTCTTCATTTCAATAATCAATCTCAAAAAAAAATTAATTAATTTGCACCCTATATACGGTCAAAATGAGTCCCCTCCAACAATGAATATAGACCTTCCATTTGGTGAATTTCAAGATCTAGGCCTCTAATTCAAAATCATTTTTTTTTTTTTAACGATGTTAATCTAATGACAATAAAGTGATCTAAAAAAATTAGAAATAAAAAAGATCCTTCTAAAGTTTAGATCTAAGCATCTCACCAAAATGGACAGCCTATGCTAATATGAAATCACTATATATATATATATATATATATATGAACGACTATGGGTGAAGATGAACAGTGATTTCGCCACCCTCATCACCGTCCAAAGTTCATTGCACAATACAATTGTCCGGTAGTGTTTCATTTTTTATTTTTTTTCTACAAATCGGAATGACCTGAAATATAGAGCGTGTATTCATAAAAAATAGGGGAATCTATGAAAATATCAAAAAAATCTTTTACATAAAAAATAAACCAAAATACCCCCGAAAAGTTTCAGGGGTATTTTGGTCAAATTTTTTCACGAATTAGTTTTTTTATATTTTTATTTGGTGCACCTCACTAAGATGTACACACGTTCCAAATTTCAAGTCATTTCGATTTGTAGAAAAAAAAATGAAAATTGAAACATTACCGGACAATCGTAACCGTACGATGAACTTTGGACGGTGATGAGAGTAGACGAAATTACTATTCATTTTCGCCTATGGGTCTTGTGAAAACTTTTTCTATATATATATATAACAGTGATGAAAATAACCATCATCAAAGGTATGTTCTAGGTGATGGCATGCTCCATCTATCACCATTCAATCCATTGATTGGGTGGTGACAACCATCATGATAACTGATACCTGTGGTCATGAGGATTAATTATGCATTCCCCAAACAGGATATATTTCATTTTGACTTTTTTTTTTTAGATCGATTTTTCATAAGGATACTGAATGGTTACAAGTAAACGATTCCGTGAGATAAGGTAATCATAAAACTTTGACCAATACAACTTGCAGCTCGCATTGCTTGTTGACCATAATTCATGAACCTGTTATTATATCCAATATAACGTCGCATTTCTCGACAAATATAATGAGTTTCGCTATTCTAAGTGTTTATTCTATTCTGGGTAATGAAGAACTTGTCACTCTCAATTCTTGGGTTCAATAATTCCTCTATAACTTAAATGACAACAAAAGCTTTTTCTATTCTTTTACTAACCGATTCATGTATCTGACTTCATTCCGCCCATGGTTGGGAACTAATGATTGGTTCGTTCTACAAAGATTTTGGATTTAGTCATAACGATCAAATTCCACTTTTCCAGTTATTCTAGATACTATTCTAGATACTATTTTGAAATATCGGATCTTCTATTATTTAAATCGTGTATCTCCTTCACTTGTAGTGATTTATCATTCAATGAATTAGAAGAAAACGCATTCCATTTGACATAAAAAAAAAAAAATAGTAGATCCCATATCACAACAAACTTATACACAAAATTACAGTGTAAACCCAAATTTATACACAAAGTACGAACACACATATTAGCGCTTTAGCAACTCCTCAAAATATAAACAACTTGAAAATTCGGATAAATTTTTACATGTTACAGACACTTCTATAGAAGTCTATATCCCCCACAGCCATGCAGAACTCTAATCAATCCCAAGTCACATATGCAATTTTCTAAAAAGTGTGGCCAACAGGATCTGGCGTAGTAGGACTTGCACACTCACAATCCAAATTGTAAGACCCAGAAAGACCAAATGGTTCATTGAATTTAGCTGGAAGTACCTACCTTTCTATCCAATTTTAGCCCTAAATAATATCAAGATAGGAAGAATTTGAACTAACCAGCTATAAGCAGCTAATGCAACAATATTGATTTTGTTTCTTGTAATTTGTTCATGTTTCAATGATTCAAAAAGTCACACCAAGAGCTCGACTAGGTTAGAGACCACACCCTGTTCTCTGCCTGTCTATCTTGTTAACCCCGTCACACCTGTGAGTTGGACCATTACAACTTTCCTAGCAATGAAAGGGGTAGTATATTTAATCGGCATCTGATCCATTAGTTAAAACGCTTGGTAAGTGTAAAAGATACCGCACGTCTAAATGGTTCTGGCCCAAATGAATCAAACGCCCTTGCATGATAAATGGCTAAAATGCACTTGACCTAGAGTCAACTTGCCTTTCACTGAGTGGCTTTGGCAGTTTCAAGAGAAACATACAAGGCCTCCATTAATTCAAGTATTTTGCTCTGATAATAACCCTAAAAACAATCTACTTAGGTCTTATGATGCCCGAGTATAACCAATGTGAGAGACAGACCATGCAATAAACATCTGGACAATCAATTCACCACTCTCACCAAAATCTTTGAAACAGAAGAGAAGCTCACAATGTGGTTTTCATGGCCCTCAAAAAGCTTTCCAAGGATTCCATCTGTTTCCCTAAGAGCTCCTTTTTCATGCCTGGGACGCATGTTAATACACCATAGTATTTGGTGTTTTGAAGTACCTGTACTAAATAAGAAACAAGTAAATACCAAAAAGAATAAGATAATATAAAACTAGAACTGTATGGATTAGAAACTGTCATGGTTGCGAGAAAAAACTCAAATGATTAATCTTAATGGACATGAAAAATTAAATTTTATACCAGGATCATTTAAAAACATCTAATGAAGAAGTGCCCACTCCGCTAGTTCAATTATTAATACAATTAAACTCAATATAAAAAGTGGATTAGAAGCGTGTTAATCTGCTGGCCCGCTAGGCTAGTCACGATGCAGCAGAAAATAAAACAAAAATTAATAACAAATAAACCACAGATCAGATAGAGATTACATCCCACTTGAAATCAGTTCACCTTTCTCTGTAGATTTCACTTCTTTCACATGTGCACGTTTCAAATCTTAGAGATGATGCTTGCAACCTTAGGCCAGTCTCTCAGTTACAAGAACCAAAGACTCAGATGCACAGCACTGATCCTCGAGCCTCGATGGATCTGGCTCGAGAACTTCCTGCACACAAGCCAAGGACAGAGTATCCTAGGGTTTTCTACACATTTTGGCCGCAATGTCATGCACTCGGTGACATCAAAGAATGAAATGCCATTTTTCTCCATAACAATAATAATTGTGAATTTTCAAAAGGGACAGAAGAAAGAGAAAAAAGCTTCTTTTTTTTTTTGAATCTGATATTGAAGAAAGCAAGTGCAAAGAGAAGGGTAGTAGACAATGAGCCAAACCTGCATTCTCTCGATAATGGAGGAGGCATTCCCAAATTGAGAGAGTAGACGAGAGTTAAGGTCTTCCCATGTGTCCATTTGGTCTCTCACTCTCTTGTATTTCTGCTGGTACTTCTTCACCAGCCTTTCCATCCTCAAAGACCCTAACTTTTTGCAGCAATGGAAATGTTTTGTTTCCAAGTTGGGATCTGATAATAAGGTTCACTCTAGACACCCCTTAGAGAGAGAGAGGAGGCTTGGTGGATGGAACCGCGCAAAGAGCGGATCAAAAGAGGACGGGGACTGAGGCAGGACAATCTGAAATCAATACATTTTGAAAATCAATCACTCTCGACTTGGATTTATGTTTTCTCCTATTTGATTTTGGAACCAATTTTAAAATTCATAGATTCATTTCCATAGTTTAGTAAGCAGATGGGTTTACGTCAAATCTACTTAGCATTTCATCAAACAATTTTCTTGCAAAACCAATCCATAATCTATAATCAAGATCCATGAATATGTATCAAACCCAACAAATACCCAAAGGAGAAATCTAGTGCGAGAGAACACACAAATAACCCAATCAACAAATCAGAGGTATTATAGGAATATCTCTCATACTAGTGTTCTGCCGCATGCAATTGGTCTTTTATGACCACAATACAATATGTGACCACTGACCAGTAATCCCACCAAATAACCGCAGTTCTTCAATAATTTTAACTACTTCCTCTTTCATGCATCTTCAAACAACAAATACAAACCAATAAACCGAACCAAAAAAGCAGAGTCTTAAATCCATGCATGGATAAAACGCAAGTCACCCCCATTATTGGTCAACCAAATATATTGATTAAAGACCCTAAAATTCCAAAATAAATACATACGAAGCAACAGAACAAAAAATTTAATAAGAGGATTTTATCAAACAATACCACTGTAAATAGGTAAAATAAAAACACTGCTTTCCAACAAAAATATAGATCAATTAACCATGAAAAGAAGAATAAACAATAATTGCCTGAATAATCCATTTAGACAAGTTTCAGAATTGCAGAACCACCACGCAAACTCTAACTCTTCGCCAGACGAAACTGATTTAGGCATTCAAGGAAAAATAAATAAATAAATAAAATATGAAATTTGGCTATATGCCCAAAACTACCGAGGTCAGTGAATGAGAGACTCAATAAAATATAGCAGTTATCTCTAAACCCTATGTTTTCCGTGACAAACTGTGATGATCTCAGCCATAAACAAGCATAACCCCAAACCAAACCATAATAACTACCTTCAAAATCAAAACCATGAATAGAGAAAGATATTACAAACTTAGGGGTGAAGAACAAAATGCCAACTACAAATAACCCCAAGGCTAGCCTATCTTTACAACTTAACCCCAGCGAAAGTCTTTTTCTCACTGCCTACCCCATGGATAATTTTTTAGCAAATACCCTTGAATCAAAGTCATACAAAAGGTAAAATGAAAACCTCGGGAAAACATGTCATCCACCACAAAATGGGGGCAAGGACTTGCTTCTAGAAAGCATGCAGTCTGGAGCGGCCAGCCACTTTGTTTCTAGAAAGAATGGAACGGTTAGCTATTTTGTTTTTAGAAAGGATGCAGTCAAACATAAAATGAGAGAGGTCCGACACTTTAAGCGTGCGGTCCGACACAAAAATGAAAGCAATCCGACAGTTGTTTAAAAGCACGACGTTCGACACAAAATAAAAGCCATCCGACACATAATATGGACAATCCAACCCTTCGGACATACAATACGACACAAAATGAGGCCAATATGATACTATGGGTAGTTTTGTGTATTTGCTAAAACAAATGAAGTTTAAGGTAAACAATGAGAAAAGAAGTTTAAGGTAAACAATGAGAAAAAAACTATGGTCGGAGGTAAATCCGACAATAAATCCCGTGGGCGGTTGTTTTGTAGTTTTTCCAGTGAAAAGTTCGCATTCTTGCCGACTACACCGACAAAGGAAGGCTCCAAATGCCGCAAAGGCTGTATGAAATGCACTCAACTGGTAACAAAATCCTTAGGAAAAGGACAGGTTGTGGTAAATAGGGAAGTTATGTAAAAGTTGAGAAGGAGAGAGAGAGAGAGAGAGAGAGAGAGAGAGAGAGAGAGTAGTTAGTAGTAGTAGGA